CCTTTCCAGTGAGGTCATACATGCAAATGACATCGGGAAACCTATTCTTGTCCTTACCGAAACACTGCTACTCAGTGTCAGGTTAAAATCGTAGGAAGTAGAACATCGATGCTGGCAACAAACCTCATCAGTTAGAGTAAGCGAGGAATAAAAAGGAAAAATTACAGTGCCTTCCTCTTAGGTAATCGACACTGTAGGCACAGCAATACTTTCCAGGCTGAATACAAACACCTCTCTCGTCAGTACCTACCCGTCAGATCAGGATTCCATCCCCCAATACACTATCTATCACTTTATTGGTTCTGGTTCTTGTTTGGGGATTAACAGTCGCTTTCAAATCCCCCATGCCCATTCACGGCTCAGAGCCCTTGTTTATATTGCCCTCTGCCCAGAAGGATCTCTGCCTCATTCATTCCAGCAGAAGCTCAATGCCACCACCGTAAGGAAGCCTCCCCTAACCTACCCAGCCCTGAACTTTAGTCAGAACTAGTTATTCGTTCCCTTATCACCCTCTGTACTAACTATTTAACAGTATTCAACATGTTTTACTCAGTTCTTTTAAATATCGAAGCAGAGACCATATTTTGCACTAGCGCCAAACCTGCTTTATAGTAGTTGCTCAATGAATGTTCACTGAAGGAATCAGTGAGTGACTGTCAAAGACCTTGCTGGTTATACACAGCTTCTTCACTTGAGCCTTCCTGTAGCCCTCAGGTAAAGAGTCCTATCCTTTCCCAGAAGAGAACACCGTCACAGGCTCACTCTCATTTACTCACTCACATTTAATGTTCATGAGATTCTGCCCAGAAAAGTGCTTCTCAGTCTTTGATGTGTACACACTTTTCCTGAGGATCTTGGTAAAAGGCAGATCTTCCTTTGGTTGGTCTGGAGTGGTCTGGAGTGGGGCCTAAGAGTCTACATTTCTAGCAAATTCCCAGATGACACCCATGATACTGGTGCCAGGGCCACATTTTAAGTCTTAGCTACCTAACAGGGTGGCTGAGAGAAAGAAAATACTCCATCGGTCTGAGAGTGTGGTGGCACCTGGAGTCTCTGGGGATAGATGGCATTTTGCCATTGTACAGATGTGCAAACTCAGAGTCAGACACACTGACTTTTCCAAGGATCCCATCTTTCTGACACCAGTGCAGCACCATCTTGATTGCCACCTATTGCTCTGCATGCTGGGGGAACTCAGAGATGAAGGCACCAGGCCCTGTCCATCCTAAGAAAGGCCATGGGGTGGTACACATGCACCAGGGACCATAAAACAAAATTGAGTGCGAACTGAGTCAGAAGTGAAGAGGCACCAAGCACGTGCCAGCCCCATTTTACGCAAAAACTTGCCACATCTTTGTTTTCTATCCATGGCCCAATTAGACTGGAGATGGGGGTCTTCTTTCATCAGCCCAGTCCCTTTAAAAGAAGAGGGGGGAACAGTGGCTTTAGGATTTTTCTTTTAAGCCCTGAACCTCTTCAGTGGAAAGTGCTGCCCTTCCGACCTGTTGATGTAATTGCCATAATTGAAGATTCCAGGCCCCCATGTGGGTGGACAGGGCCCCATTCATCCATCAGGTCAGCGAAGTGTAAACCTGCTGAGCCCTTCAGATGCCCTGGCCGCAGCCTCCCCCTCCTAGGCCCCTCCGCCTTGCGGGCTGGACTCCCCGCAAGGCCAGGGCAGCCAGGCCCAGGCCGCTCCCTCTCTGGATGTGGGAACAGTGCCTAATTAAGGGGTCTGTTCTCTTCTCCATGGGGCCGAATTAACGCCTCCTGACAGTAATGAGAGCCACACGTGTGGGGCTGAGGGGTGGGAAGGACAGCCTCCCTGCTGTCTTAGCACCCTATTAAACAGCAAGTCTCACAACACACACACACACACACACACACATACACACACACACACACACACACACACACACACACACACACTGCAATTCTTTAGTAATCACCACCAAACCTTTATAGCTACAGGGAGCTGCTCCAATTCTGAAAGAGGAAGGAACCAAAGAGATGAAATAACTTGCCTAAGGGCACACAGTGAGTCATTGTCACCGGGCCCCAGGTGTCCTGTTGCACCTCATAGCACAGACTTCCCTCATGGAGGGTGGGGCTCCCCACTGCAGTCCCAGGGGAACACCATGAGGGTGGGAGGGGAGCAGACAAACCCTGCTAGGGCAGTCCCTGTAGGAAGATTAGCTGGCCAGAGCAGAAGAGGAAGACTCATGGGGCTGAGGGTTTGAGTGGCCTCCAGGTCACCCTTTGATCACACGGCAAAGCCAACCTCAGAGGGGAGGAACCCTCACTGTTGCAGGTAGACCCCACCTAACCCTCTCCTGCATTCTCTGGGACCTTGTCTCCTTTCCCACCACCCACAGCCCTCATGCCCAAGCCCCTGCTGACCCACAGTCCTTGAGCACTGAAACAATCTGTCCTGTGTCCCTTCTTTTCCTGTTTCTCCAATAGAGGATCTTTGCACAGTGCCAGGCACACTGAGAACTCTTGGTAAATATTCAGTAAATATAATAAAAGTCAAGTTGATGTTTGCCCCAACTGTAAGTCAGGTTAGAGCATAGACTTAGGCACAATTTTTTTTTTTTTTTTTTTTTTTTTTTTTTTTAGAAAGAGCAGGGAGGTCTCCTGAGAGGCAAGTAGAGCAAAAATGCTGAAATGAATATGAACTTACTCTCAAGACACTGGCCCATTAATAAATATAGTGAATGAAAGGAACGGAATAGTTCAATTTTGCCTTCCAATTCCAATTTCAACTCCAGTGGTGTGGTGATGAGTCCCAAGAAAGAAGCCAACAATATCCTGGGTACTAACAATACAAATTAGAGACCCAGGCTCCCTCTAGAAGCCCCCACACTACTCTTATCTCCCCCCTTTCCACCTAGCTTTCAGTAGGATGGATCTCACCATCCTACTGAAAACCTTTTGAAATTCATGGTGCCTGGATCCTCAGTCTGGCCAGGCCTTAGCTCAACACTACATTTCTCACTGCTCTCAGGGAACAGCCTTCCTCCCCATTCATCAAGTTGATCTCCCCAGACAGTTCAGACAGGTAGAATAGGGGGCTGGGGGTGAAGATGAAACTTGGAGCCAAAAAGCCCAGGTATGAGTCTCAGATCCCTCTTTTGACAGGGTGAGGATTAAGGGGTGTAATGATTATGAGTTACTCTGCAAACTGTAAAGGGCTAAAGGAATGATAGTTATTCATATTTACTCATGACTATTCCCACCTTCAGTGCTCCCTTTGGCCTCCTAGCTCACCTTACCTTGCCCTTGGCCTTGTCCTACCAAACCCCACTCCAAATCCATCCAATCTAGCTTTAAGGCCTCATTCGTAAAGCATGTGCTTGTTCTCTGTGCCTGTGCACATTATCCTTCGAACTCCAAGCCCACGCTCATTTGCTTGCAGATAATATGGCACAAAACTGTAGTTTATAATTTAAAAAGAAATTATGCCAGGAGCTGGGGATGTGGCTCAGTGGATAAGCACTTGCCTAGCATATGCAAGTCCCCAGGTTCAGTCCCAGCACAGGAAAAGAAACTGTGCCAGGCTTGGTGGCACATGCTGGTAATCCTAGCAACTCAGGAGGCTGAAGCAGAAGGATTACAAGTTTAAGACCACCCTTGGCAACTTAGGGAGAACCTGATTCAGAAATAAAATAAAAAGGGCTGAGGGTGTAGCTCAATGGTAGAGCATTCCTAGGCTTAATCTCTGGGAACCTCCCCCCACACCCCCCCAAAAACAAGGAGAAAAGGAGGGAGGAATGAAGGGAGGAGAAAAGAAACATGATTTTCAAAGCTTAAAATGAAAACAAAGAGCTGGGCGTGGTGGTGCACACTAATAACCCCCACAAGTCAAGCTGAGGCAGGAGGATTGCAAGTTCAAAGCTAGCCTCAGCTACTTAGGGAAATGCTGTCTCAAAATAAAAAAAAAAAATTTAAAAATCTAGGATATAGCTCAGTGGTAAAGCACCCCTGGGTTCAATCCCACATAAATAAATAAAACAAAACTGGAGGGAAGAAACCAAGAACATCACCAAGGAGTGTACCAGTTTGCTTAGACTGTCATGACAAAGTGGTGGCCTGGGCAGTTTAAACAACAAATTTCTCACGGTTCTGGAGCCTGGAAATCTGAGATCAGACCACTTTCTGGTGAGAGTGTTCCCGCTGGCTTGCAGAGGGATGTCATCTAGCTGTGTCCTCACATGGTGTGTACACACACACACACACACACACACAGAGAGAGAGAGAGAGAGAGAGAGAGAGAGAGAGAGAGAGAGAGCTGTCTGGTGTCTCTTCTAGTAAAAGCAGCTATCCAGCATGAGGGCTCCATCCTCATGCATCATCTAACCCTGATCCTTCCAAAGACTCCTTCTCCAAATCCCTCCCACCGAGGGCTAAGCCTTCAACATGTACATCTGAAGGGCATGAGGACACAATTCAGTCCACAGTAGGGAGAAAAGGGAGAGGTTTAGGGTCCAGTTTAAGCTGGCTGTTGTAGCTCAGTGCCTTTAGTGGACAGTCCTCATGTCTCCTCACATTTCTGCAGAGGGGAAACTTGCACTCCTGAGTGCACGTGGGCATGCATTAGAGAGAATCTTTCCCATCTTCTCCCCTGGGGGAGAAGAGCAGAAAATGGGGGTGAGTGTGTGTGTCACATTTGCCTGGAGCGCTATGACAGGGTCACTGCTTTTTCCTCCCTCAGTCTGTTCAGAGCAGAGCTGTTTCCTGTTTTCTGGCCCCTCCTGGACTTCCATGATCAGCCACAGCTATGGATTCACCATCATTGACACCTACTCCCCACTTCAACAATCAGGACGCTGCCTGTTCTCCTGCTGCTTCCCAGGTTTCTAGAAGCAGGTGCATGATCTTTTCTTTGCAGTAGATTGAATAAGTGGATTCACAGCCTACTTGGTGGATCATGCAGGCCCCAAAGTCCAGATTAAGAAAGGAATCAGTAGTCCCACCCCTTCCCCAACAGAAGCTCTTACCTCATCATTCATCATTCTCTATGTGAAGTGCACTTGGAGCATGGTCTTGAACCATGGTCAATCACCCCACAGAGGAAAAGTGACTGTAGAGTTCCTCATTGCCAGCAAGCACAGGTGAGCTTCCTGATGGCAAGATGTCATTATGAAAATGTGGCTAAAGTGAAAGAGAAATAAGTTCGGACACAGGGACATTGAGTAACATAATTGATGGAGTGATGGTTTAGCAGAATATGCAGTGATTTTACGTGGCCAGTTTCTGCAGTAACTTGAAATAAAAATGAAGGGCAAAGTATTGTTATTTAGGGCTGGGGTATGGCTCAGGGATAGAGGGTTTACCATAGTGTATATGAGGCCCTGGGGTTCCATTTCCATTACTGAGGATAGAAGGAAAGAAGAAAGGGAGAGAAGGAGGGGGAGAAAGAGTTTGTTATTTAATCAAAGGCAGCTTTCAGTCTCCCCCCAATTCTTCCACCTCTAACTTGAAGAACTACAACTTACTATTCAAGATTGTTCCATTCTTCTTGTTTTTGGTGGGAGTCTTGCCTAATCTTTGCCTGGGAACCCAGCCCAGCAGTGAAAAGTAGTTCCAATTTGGTAGGGGGGACTCCAGTCACCCACTAAAGCCCAGAGAAGATCATTTTCCAACCAGGCATCTGTAATTGTGGCTGCTCTGTTAGAGGAAGGTGCCAGAACCTGCCTTTCCCTGCAAGAAATCCCTGGGTCCCAGGTGAGGTCTTGTGGAGGAGAGGGCAGATGGCTTTCTCTTTTCCACCTGCTGCTCAGGGAAGCCTGGGACTTGAAGCCCAGGTAGGGAGGTTTGTGGGGACTTTGGAATTCTAACATGGTCACCACTTCACTGCTCCTATTCACATCCTCCATATTTAAGGCTGCAAAAAGGGACTCATCCCACCTCCTCCCCCCCCCCAGGCTTAATCACAGCCTTAAGCCACTGTCATTTGCAGTGTTGTAAGCATAGTGACAGGAGCAGGTTAGGTGTTTGGAACAGTATGATGTAAGTCTTGTGGTGAAAGAGTCACTGACAGACAGTGCAAGGTGACACCATGAGAACAGCCCAGGCTATGAGGTCATTTGGTCCAACAGGTAGGCCCTTCTGTTTTCTCAGCCCTGACATTTGATGCCCTGCCAGTTATTTAATAACCAGAAACGAGGTGAGTCCCACGAATTCCTGCATCTCCAGGGGGATGGAGCGGGAGGGCTACATTTCTCATCCGCCAGACTGTGGGTTTGCTCAAGGGCACCCAAGGAGAGGCTCCAGCTGCAAACCTCCCCAGAAGTTGGGTCCATGGAGCAACACACAAGAAAGATTCAGAGGCAAGCGGTATCCTGTCTGCAGAGAGCTGAAAATGATTCTGCACTCCATTTAATCCAAAAATCATACCTGGCTCCTAGAGGGGAAGGCCAAAATCCCCCAGACTTGACACGCAGTCGACTTTCAGGCCAAAGAAAGCAACCAGTTCTCAGCAAACTTACTTTTGAAGAGACTGTGGGAGGGCTGGGGGACAGCTGGATGACAGAATGTTTGTCTAGGGTGGGGGTAGGGGGGAAGCCCAGAATCAGAAAAAAAAAAAAAAAAAGCACAAAAACCTGGGGGAGAGGAGTCTGTAGAAAAAAAAAAATCTGTTTGGGGAGGGATATTGTTTTTATTGCTTCTTTTGTTTATTTTGCTGCTTAATGTATGCCACACATATGACCCAACATGCAAAAACATAGTTTTAAACTACATGAAATATTTGATGACACTGTAATTAATGCTTCAAAAAAGGTAAATATTTGAAAGGACACTATAATTAATATTTCCAAAAAGTAAGTTCTAACCAAACATATTTTCTTCAGAACATTTCATAGAAGTTCAAGGGAAAAAAAATGATTATAGATTTCCTCTTTAAGCACAGTATTGAGGTAGGAGTTGAAATGGTTTCCTAGGGTGCCCCCTAACAAAGTACCACAAACAGGTAGATTAAAACAACAGAAATATATTGTCTCAGGGTTCTGGAGGCCAGAATTCCAAACTCAAGGTGTCAGCAGGGCCCATAACATGTGACAACCTCTAATAGCTAGAATCAGATAAAAGGGAACATAGGACCCACAGCTCCACTTTGGTCTTGCCAACCCTGGGAAATTTCTTTTGCATCAGCAAAGGTATCAGCACTTCAGTGATTCTTCCTACAAAGGTAGCAAGCTATTCCTTCATCAATATTTACTAAGCACCTACTACTGAGTACCCAGATGTGCTGACTGTAGGTGAGAGAGACAAGTGGAGGTCCCTGTTACCGATAAAGAATATTAGAAATTCTTTGTTCACCTGTGTCAGGTAGGTGATGAACAGTCTGAGGGCCAGGCACCCTGTCCCAGACATCCTTTGCAAGAGGTCTCACAGACTCATGTGATATCATGTTGCAAGGATCCCCTGGGAAGAGAAAAACCAACACGGTGACTAAAGAGCAACATGTTACACAGAAGAGGAGACAAAGTCCAAAAGCCACATGGAGAACTGCAAGATTCTCAAGACGGAGAGAATTTGAAAACATCTTAGTTCAGGTGTTTGTTTTTTTTTTTGGGGGGGGGGTTGTTTGTTTTGTTTTGTTTTGTTTTAACTCAACAGAAAAAAAAAATCAATGGGGCACTTTCTTTGACCAAAATCTTATGAGGTTATGCAATGTCTGAACAGGCAAAGCCAAATGGTTCTAGAAGAAGAATTATAGGGCTTGAGAAAGGCTCACCTGTTCAGTACCACCTGGAGGCCCTCGAGCCACGGTCCCTGGAGGAAGCCCCACAGGTTGTGGCTTGTAAACCGTTAGATCAACAATGGGGAAGCTGGCCCCAGAGAAATGGCAGAGACAACTTTATCAGGGGGTGCACACAATGAGCCTATGGCAGAGACAGGACCAGAACCTGGGTTCTTCTCTGATTTCCAACCCAAAGCTTTCTGTACAGTCTCATGTTCTCAGGGTAGAGTGGCCAGGAAGGTGGGCTGCCATGCCTTCTGGTCTCCCTTTTCAAACAACCTTACAGACTCTCCTTTCCTTCAACCTCCTCTCTGCGCCTACACTGCATTTCCTGGCCAGAGGCATCTTTCAGATTCAGCCCTAGGCCCTTGGCCTGGATTGTGATCTTCACCTCTGGGTGGCCAGGCAAGGACTCAATGTCTTTCTGGGTCAGGAGGCTTCCAAGTCCTGGTTCCATTCTGCAGCCTCCTTGCTCTGTAACCCTGGCAAAGCTGTCTGAGCTAACTGGGATTCACTTCACTCCCACAATCACCTTTCCTTCCCTCTCTGGAGGAGAAAAATCAAGGTCCACGAGACCAAACGGAGAGTCATTCCTTGGGGTAGGCTCTGAATCCAGCTTTTTCTGATCTACACTACTGAAAACTACAGAATACGTTGGTTCAGGGGGAGGATGCATAGAATTCCAAAAGGCAATGATCCCCAAGGATATTTCACAGTGGCCTGGGCACAGCTCAGAAGCCCACATCCCAAAAGCAATACCCAACGCCCAGGCTTCTTAGTCAACCAACTCATCCTGGGAGAACCTTCCAAGGGGGCAGTGTCTCCTGATGAAAGGTTCTGCCCATGTCTGATCTCAGTCTAACCTTCATCCACAAAATTTACTCTCCAAAGACTCACAAAGCTTCTGGAGTCTGTTTCCTGCTTGTCCTAGGGAAGGCAGTAGGTTGGAGAAATCTCCAGAGGGTGGTGCCTCTAGGAATTAGGGAGTGTGTACTTATGACGTCTGAGCTCAAGGCTGGGCCATGCCATTGACTTGCGGACTTGAGACCAATCTCTTGATTACTCTTGATCCCGTCTTAGAGCTGTAAATTGGGGGTTTATTCAACATTCACTCAACATCCCCCACCCCACCCCTTGAGCACCTATGACATACTGGTCCCACACAAGGCCATGCTGCACTTCCCCCTCCCTCCTCAGCAGGATGTTGTGAGCATCAGACTATTGGGGTCTGAAATGACTCCTCCGTGGCCCAGGCATGTAAATATTCTTTCCACTCCGAGTCTTCCCTGGAACAGAAGGGAGTCATTTCTTCAGCATGTCTCTCAGTCCTCGAAGGCTCTTCTCTGATTTTATAACAAAATAAAACTGTGATCAGTTCTCGGGTTTTTCATGATTTTTCATGACATGACCTATTTGGGGGGCTAAATTGATACTTGGAAACCCATGATTTATGTGAATAAGTATCCTTCAACTATCCTTTAAAAATGGTGAGTGATATGAACTTTGTCTTTTCACCCTGTAGAGCCAAGCAATAAATAACTATGCTCAATAAATGAGTTGCCAGGAGGGAGGGGCGGGGAGAGAGGAAAAGGTGAAAGGGAGGGACAGGAAATCTTGCCTCCGAGGAGGAGAATTAGCAAAATAGAATCAAAAGGAAGGAAAACTTTTCTGAGCTTACTTTGCCCATATCTCAGATGAGCATCCTCTGGAACACTCCGGGGATAGCTGGTAGTGACTTAAGGTTGTGAGCTCCCTTTCTACCTGTGGCATGAGGACCCCTGGATCTAGAGGTCATCATGTGTTGTTGGTCAGCAAGGCTGGACATGCGGTGCTCAGCACCCTCACATCTTCGTATCACAGGAGAGACATGAGGGAAGTGGGCGATGTGGGGGTCCTTTACCATCGTCACCCTGACAGCCAGGGCCAAGGAGAATATTTTCATCTACCCTCTTTCTTTTTTCTTTTAAGCTTCTTCTAGTGATAAAAGCTGGAGCAAATTGAAATTGTCAGCTCTGTGGTCTTTAAGCAATAGGAAAAGTACTAGAGATCATGTGAACCACACTTCTGAAAACTTAAAGAAAAAAAAAAATCTAATCTTGCCTCAATAAAAACGACATCATGTCACTGCAGTCGGCAGGGGGAAGGCCTGAGAGTTGCTGGCAGTGGCCCAGCAGAGTTCAGGGGTTATGTTGGCTGCGCTGAATTCCCATGGGAAAGGTAGACCCGGAGCACCGCCTTTCAGGTGAGCCTCAGGTCTGTCAGGTACAGGAGGGGCAGGGAGAATGAGAAGGCCTCCCCCTCAAATCGCTGTCGTCTCTGGCTCTGCTGTAGCAGCCAGGCAGAGGCAGGCCCCTCCACCCCTTCTCTCCCACCTGCCTCTCTTCCTGATGTGCCTTTGGCTGTGTTCCTGTCTTTGGCTGGCTGACTTTGAGGGACAGAGAAGACAACAGCCACCCTGGGACATCTCAATGACAACAAACCCCTTGTGAGGGTACAGACCTAGAGCCAGGGAGGGTGGCACCAAATGCCCCAATACCACTCAAGTGTGGAGTCTTTGAAAACTCACCCTAAGGGTCTGTGCCAAAGACAACAATAAAAATGGCAGGTTGGCCATGCAGCAGCCAGCCATTCTGCACAGGAGCGCTTTAGCCCTGGAAGTGCAGGGCTAGGAGCTGGCTTCACAGGGCCTCAGCTGACCTTCAATTGCCAGTTACCATCTGCTCCCAGACACTGACTATTTATTAGCAATCCCCAGATGGGTATATAAGGTAGAGGTAAGGATGACTGCCCCTTGGCAGGGCTTGGGGGACAGGGTCTACAGACAGAAGGACTACTGTTCAGGATGTAGCTTTTTGGACAGTCTGAAATTTTTAAACATGTATATTTAAGTTAAATTGTCTAACTTTTCAAAGTGGGGTGCACAGGCCCTCTCTTAAGGGTACAGTGGCCCAACAAAAGGAAAGTTGGAATTTCAATTTTACTTAAAAAGTTGGGCAGAGAAAGGGGGCAGAAATGTGACTTTTATATTAAAAGAAATATGAATATATGGAGAATATAATGCAAAATGTACTTAAAAAGTAAGAGGAAATATAAAATCTCCCTTCTTGTGAAATGCCATATACCAACTTTAGCCACACACAGGCTGAAGGCACACTTGGTATTCATTCTTGTGTTTAAGGGACTCTGGGGTCCCAGGGCTATTTGTGTCACCTCCAGGAGTGACAGATGTGAAGCAGAGTAGAATCATTGCCTCCAACTTATAGTGCAGCTGTTTGGAGTGAAGAAGTGGGGATGGGGCTGAGTCTTGGAGGCAGGGAATATCTTGGAGAGCTGAGGGCACTGAGGGATGGGAGATCTGAGGGACAATTGGTGGTGGGTTGGTCTAAGGGGAAGGATGGCCCTGGAACAGAGAGGGCATGTTTGGTGGGCCAGATTACAGAAGGCTCCAGTGAGCAACCCCAGAGCTAACTGTTGCTCCAACTTGTCCCTGTAGCCCAATTCATAAATATAGACATGTCAAGGCAAATCCAGGGCTGGGGATGTGGCTCAAGCGGTAGCGCACTCGTCTGGCATGCGTGCGGCCCAGGTTCAATCCTCAGCACCACATACAAACAAAGATGTTGTGCCCGCCAAACACTAAAAAAAGAAAGAAAGAAAAAAATAATAATAATAAATATTAAAATTCTCTCTCTTAAAAAAAAAGGCAAATCCAAAAATTACCATTAAGGGCTGGGGGTGGAGTTCAGTGGTAGACAAATTACCTAGCATGCAAAGGACCCTCAGTTCCATTCCCAGCAAAAAAAAAAAAAAAAATCACCAAGAGACCACCCAGTAATAATTGCCATAGGCAAGATCCTTCAATGGAGTCTAAGTTTAGTGGCTGGAAGTATAAGCCCCATGTGTCCCACTTTAAGACAGGTCTGCATCTCCCTTTATGGATTCCTGCTGGAGCCTCCCCTTGAACAAGGGGAAATAGAAGACAGCAGTGAGCAAAACTCTAGGGAAGGGTGCTCTTTAAAGCCACGTAAAGAAATTCCCTTGCAAAAGACTGGCATGGGGTCACCTGTGGAGACAGGTGGGAGTGGGGAATGAAAGCTCATGACATGGAAACCAGGGTGAAAACTTGTCTTGAACCTATCAACAAGTGAAAGGAAAAATCTATAATACTCAAAAGCCCCTGTCTGGGTCACTCTATACAGTCTTATTCTGAGAGAAAGCAGCAGGCCCCATGCAGGGTATCAAAGATTGAGATCCCATGTGATCGCCCATGCCCATTTTTGCTCAAAGAGCTCTGCATATTTGGGTGTTATTTTTATCTTCTCCTTTCATTTATTGTCTCAAGGTAAACACTTGTGATTCCTAAATGCCTGAAGAGTGAATCAGTATTCTCCTGTTCAAACCAGTCGAGGCCACATCAAACAATAGCCCACTAGGGATTATTAATCATTAAATAGGGGCATATATGAACACTCAGTCAAGGAGACCATTTTTCTTTTCTTTCTTGTCTATTTTTTTTTTTATAAAATTAACAAAGCATAAACCTTGACTTTGGCCTGTTCAAAAAAGGAGTGTATTTTTTTAACCACAAAGACTTGTCAAATTCAAGGCTAACAGGGCAAATATTTCAGGTGGGAAAGTGTTCCTTCCCTTGAGGTCTCCCACAGCCCTGAACAATGGCCTAAATTTCGATCTGTAGCGCCTTCCTTTTCCATATTCACACACCCAGGGAAAATGGATGTTCTCAGTCATGGTTGGTAGATGCAAGCGTCTCTGGTAGGATTGCTGGATACAAACTGATAAGTAGGAGAGCCCAGAGAATACTTGCTCTGTCCCAGAATAAACCAAGTCATTTCAAATATGTTGTGAGTAAAACCATGAAAGAGCTTCTCTCTCCTTCTCCCTATCTTATATACATTGCATAATGTCCTCCAGGTCCAAACACTGGGGCTGCTCCCTCTATAGACCCTAAATCCATATCACCTCCTACAGATGTGAAAGTGCTGGAACATTGTGGACTTTACAATAATATGTCTCCTAGCTTTCCTTCAAGAAGCATCTAGATGACTGAGTAAACAAATGAAAACTTGAGCACATGCAGCCCACAGAAGCAGGATGACGGGGGTGGGGGTGGGGTCAGGTTTGCACCAGTTCTCCTGACGTTATTCTTAATTGTCTCTGGTCCTCAAAATGTTCCAGTTTGGGCCATAAATTATATAGTCACCTACACAGAAGGAGAGCAGGAAGGGTCCAAGATGGCTGAAGGTACCTTCTTAAATATCAGATCAAACATATGGGAGAAATAAAAGTAGTTAAGAATTTATATTGAATTTGCAATTTTCCAGGCACTATTACAGGCACAGTACACGTATTCATCCTCAGAGTATTCCTATAAGATAGGCACTCTGAATATCTTCTCATTAAACAGAGAAGCAAATTAAGGTCCAGAGATGTATGACACACAGCTAGAAAGTAAACAAGCTTCAACATGAACCCAGAAATTCAGGCTCCAGGGTTGACTTTTTAGCTACTCTATTACCCTATTTTTCTTAAACATATATATGTGGATATTCATTCAATATTCCTAGTAGAAATAATTCATATCAGTCAAATCTCAGCTGTAAAACTTGATGCTCACAGAGGCTCTATTTATATACAAGAGGACATTGCACCTCCAATTTATAGCCCCCTATATTGCTATCACTCAGCATTGTAAATCAACAGGTGTGTTGGAGTGCTCTATGAAAACAGGTGTTTTTGTGTGTTCCATTCACACTTATTCAACCCAATACTTCTGAGCATAGTTACTATTTACTTCTTGACTATACAGAACCTTCCATGAGGAGCTGGCATAAAAAGGAAGCCTGAGGGCAGGATACAGAAGCAGGGCCCCACCTCCTGACCATTCACTAGTTTTGTGCACTGCTGAAATGACTGCCACCAGACTCACCTGTCCCGGGGGGCCTCCTCTTTTTCTTTTCCAGTCTTCCAGAAAGAACCATGATCTGCCCACTGGTCTTTCTTCCCTTTCCATCTGCTGCCCAGTGGTGGAACCTGCTTAAATTTTACTTATTAACTATACGTAGATATGGCAGGCTGCGGTGACAGCAGGATTGTTTGGGAGCTCAGTATCTCACTTCTTCCCACGTACCTTACCCTGGGAATTGCTTTGTACTTGCATATTGCCATGTAGTAGTGTGTCTTTAATAACCATCAATAAAGATAGGCCTGGGAAACCACGGATGGCCACAGACTCCTCTAAATTCACCTGGTTGCAACAGAGAGGAGCTGTCTGTGGGGGTAATCTGGCTATCCAGAGGTGGTCCCCAGGAGTGGCCAAGTAAACACACCCTTTGATTAAGCAATCAAAGAAAATTTAGAGAAATATGCTGACTCTTTGAGGGTTCCTTGAATCACCAAACATATTCTTAAGTCTGTGTTCATTCATGTGTTTATTTTCCAAATATTTGGAGGTGCCTACTTTGTGAAAGATATTCTACCTACCAAATACCAAGAGGAGATTTGTAGCTTCCTTACCAGAGAAGCAATAGAGATGAAGAATGTGGGAGGTAAGGGGAAATTCTTAGAATATAAACCAAGGATGCCATCACTCTGCATAAATGAATAGCACGTAGGAACAAAAGTACCTGTCAAAGTCTGTGTACAATTCTGATTTGCAGAGTAGGAGCTTATAAGTACTCACTGAACAAAATTAAGTTGAACACACACTTGGAATTACACAGTTCTAACCTGGCTATGCTGTCTGACCACCATCAATATGGGTTTCCCCCTTGATATAAAACAAACAAGCTGAGACTCTACCCCTCTATCTAGGTGATAGGCAGTCCCAGATATCGAGTCTAGGTCTGTCCCAGGTGCAGGACTTTGAGGGCAGGTGAGGAGGGTGTAGAGGGTTGACTAGCCACCCAGGACAAGGAGATCAAATACTTGAATGTGAGTGCTTGGGTTCCTACGTGACTGGGGGAGCTTATTGAGATTAAGGCCATAGCTGGATACGTATACGATGCCACGCACAGTTTGACAACCTCCTCCAGGAGCCAGCAACACATTGGAACTTTATCACAAGACCTCCAGTCAGGTCAGACAAGCCTGGCACACACCAGCATGTTTCCAGAAAGCTTGACCTCCCCAGGCCCTCTCAGATTTCAGCCAAGGCTGGCCTGTGTCAGTCCAATCTTGCAAAAGGAGGGACCCCTTTCCCAACTTCACATAATGTCCACACACTGAGTGAAGCTAAGGGAATCCAAAATGAACTCCATTCTGTGGCAGCTGCCCACAGTGGTGGAGGACAATGGAAATTAACTCTCAGTCTCTGCCCCCCCACCCACCGCCCCTCTGAAACCACCTCTCAGACTGACTGTAGAGCAGGATGTAGTCTTCCCATTGCCCCTGTTCTCTGGCATGACTCCAAACAATCCCACAGCCTTTTCCAGTCAGTGCAAATTTATGTTAGGCCTATAGCGATACAGACGCACAGAATAAGCAACTCACTAGTGAGAAGTGAGGCAAGTTCGAGGATCCTCCAAGGCCCATCAGCAGCATAGCTGGTGTCCCTTTCTGAGATCTTCCTAGGAAACCTTTCAGAAGGCACTGGGTGCTGAACTAAACAGCTCTGTCCTCACTCAGGGGAGCCTAGATCATCAGCTGGCAGTGTCATTTCCAGAACATGCTCAGTCATCTTGCTAAGTGGGATTCCTTCTCCCATGCTTCTCTTCTGGTTTTCCTCTGCAAGAAATCACATTCCTTCCTTGCCCCTTCCCCCGCAAAATGTCCTTTAAATTACTGGGATTGCCCTGTAAATGAAATGGGCAGACAACTCTGGAAATCCTACTCTCGCCCATGGCTCTCCCTGACAAAGGAAATCAATTCTCCTGGCCCCTGAGCTCCTAGTAGAGGTATTATTTTCCAGAAAGCCTGTCTGCCGCATATCCTGTGTCTCCATTAACCCATAGTCCAACCAAATGTCACCTGTACTGACCACACAAATCCTCTCCCTCCTTCCCTGGGCTGCCCACCCAGCCCCTTTCAGTCTAGATAGGTTAGGTGATAAGGCTTCGTATGAAGACATGAAAGTGCCTTGTCAACTATCATGTACTAAGAAGTAGGGGGACAGGTGCCTCCAACTTGTGAAAGAGACCAGAAGGTCCCAACCACGCTAGAACCCACCAGGGTCTTGGACTGCCCCTGTAACAGCTGCCTGAGTCATCATCTTTCATTCTCTGAGTCCAATATCTAGTAGTAAAAATAATAGTGCATATACAAACATCATCCCAACCACTTGGGAAGTCCATTATTTGTCTCACCCATAGTTCTCCTAAATGTGACATCAGCCAGCAAGCAGCTCAATGTGTCCTGTTTCAACCCTTCAATGTATTCCTAGGATCACATCGTCTGGTCCTGAGATCTACGCTTAGCATCAGGGGAGCACAGATTCAGGAGCTGGAATATTGTCTACCCCAGTCTTCCTTTTAGAGCATAAATAAGGGTTGGCAATAATAAGAAAGAAAAAGGACATGTAGCTTGGCATAGCTTGACATATTTAATTGGGAGGCAGGCAAAAGGTTTCCTGTCTCTTAGAACTAAGAAATCAAGATTCCTTCCTTGCCAGAGCATACAGGGCAATGAGCAAATCCAAGAGAGAATCATACTACAGCAAACCTGGAAATGAACCATGTACTGGGAGCTCAGGATATGGCTCAGTGGTAAGAGCACTTGCATAGTGTGCACAAGGCCCCGGGTTTGATGCCCAGCTAATACATGAACTGTGCTCTAGAATGCTATCACAATAATTCACCAACAGATAGCTCATCAGCAGTCAAGTTAATCTTTAGGGTAATGTTAGTAACTTGCCATCGATGCCATTTAAAATGTTTGTTTCTAAAGAGATACAGTAGGGAGAGTTCTTGATTGGCAGGTGGAAAATGTGAGTCTAACTTAAACTTTGCAACCCCCCCCCCAGGGAAGCTGTTTGACCTTGTGTAAGTCACATCTTTCTAGGCAAAGTTTCCTCATCCATTAAGTGAGTGGGCTGATTCTGTGATCTCTAGGGTCTCTTCCAACTCTTCCCTTGTCCCCACCTTTCTATATTTTGTGAGATAGTGAAAGGAGAGATGAGGATTATAATTAAAAATATATTGTATGTATTCCTCCCGCATTATTTTTAAGTCCCAAGTTTTACTCAAATGTTTTTTCTAGATATTTTGTTTTTAAATAAATTTGGTCTGATGTCACAATTTGAGCAGCTTATTAGCAGGCCGAGTAATTGTATGCTTTGGGTTTTTAGGCGCTGGGCTTCACCCCTACCTTCCTGAGCCTTCATGGGGCCCCTGGGCCTGCCCTCACATGCCCTAGCCCCTAGCACAGCTTGGAGCGTTTCATACACCAGGGTGTAAGGTAGCATCGCTGTGATCCCTGGGCCTGCCCTGCTTCCCCCTGGCCCTGAAGGATTGCCCCCAGAGCCCTGTTCTGAGGTTAAGAGGTTAACTTAGAGCACATTTAGAGCCTTCTCACCACGGCAGCTGTGGCCTGGCCAAATGTGGGAGTTCAGTCATTCCAGGGCGCCCTGCCCCCATCCTGCTGGAAAGGGCTTTCTTGGCAGCCATCCTCTTTCAGATCCCATTAGAAGAGTGCACAATCCCCTTGGTCTCACCGGCTCCAGTGGATTGTTGGGGGCGGGGGAGCATTACATGCTGCTATTAGCCAATGCTGACAGCTTCTGTTTTCTGCCTCCACCCCTAGTTTGCCTAGTGAGGTCCTGGCTTAGCCAGGAATCAACCAGGCATTTTTTTTTTTTTCAGAAGTGGCTACTTATTTTTATCAAAGATGGAATGTGGAGTTGCCCTGTGTCTGCCGCCTCTGCATGGCAACCGGGCACTTGGTCCAAGCATTCCTGAACCCTCTTTCTTCAACAGACATTTTTCTTTCTTGCCTTTCCCTTTCTCCATCCAAACATTGGACCCAGAGCTTTGCAAGTGCTTCAGAATTAATAAAACACAATGTTACAGGAATTCAAAATATCTTTATTAATGTCTCTACTTTAAATGCAGGCTTTGGCTGGCTATCGCGGCTCTATAAACCCTGCCCTAAAATTACCCAAAAGACCACAGCATTGCAGAGCAGTGGACAGAGCTGGCTTTGCCCACCCTACCCCACCCAGACTTACATAGCTGTGGGCCCTTGAGCCAGTCTCTTTCACTCCCTGGGGCTTAAAATACCCACTAATAAGCACAGATTGCCAGGATCAGCTTTCTTTAACCTGTTCTAGCCACAAAAAAACTTTACAACTCTGCTGAAAATTGTGGATTCTCTTCAGGGAAAAAAATTTAAAGCGGTGCATTTATTCATGCATTTGAGAAGTATTATTAAACTCTTGATGAAGATGCATATATAGACACATTTAGAATTCCATTTCAGGGGGCTTACAGGCTCCCTGGAGGTTCATAGTAAAAAAAAAAAATCTAGTCATAAATTCTGTGATGAACACATAGAGACTCTCATCTAGGAAAGACTATGATAATGACTCCCATAAAGAATCATAAAACTACCAGCCATCCAGATGCCAGAGGACAGAGCAGTGAGGCAGTCATTATGAAGGTGATTTCCAGCTTTCCGCCCCGTCCCAGTCGCCACCCCGTAGGCAGACACACAGGCAGACATGCATGCACAAGCAGCCTGGAATGTGCTGTTTCTGGGCACTTGGACTGCAAGGAGCTGGCTGTAGCCCTGGCAGAGAGATGACAAACATATCTCTTCTACCCTTGGTTGTATTTTTCTCACGGTCTCTGAAAGGGCTGCGATCAGGTGACATGTGTGGGACTGCCCCCTGTACAGGTGCGGGGCAGGTACTGAGTGGAGGAGAAAATCCTCCCTGTGGGTACTTACTCGAGGCTCTTTCAATATCCCTCCCAGGATAGCTCTTGGCAAGGCAGCTAGCACGTCCCTGGCAGGCTGCGGGGAAACCGAGTGTGAGAAAGTCAGTCAAGCGGAGGAAAAGGAAAAAGAAAAAAAGAGAGAGAGAGAGACAGAGTGAGGGAGCAAGCTTCAAGACCTCAGGCAAAATACCTTTTCTCTTCTTTTGCTCTTTCCTTTCTGTAGCTTTAAACCAAACTCACAAACCATTCCCATACCTAGGAAACAAAGGGGAGTCTCACTAGAGGTGCAGGTATTTGTCTTATGCTTTAAAAGCAAACATGTGATACAAGACAAAAAAAATCCCTCTTTGTGAGTGGGGGGCATGCTGGGAGGAGCCAACCTGGGATCCCTGATTGCATTTGTTGGGCATGATGCAGTGGGAAAGATTCCGTTTTGCTGATATCACAGTGGGATCAAAGAAGTGACCTCCACTGATGCCCGCTGTTACATTTCTCTCTTCTTTGGCAGTAGGAGGAAAAGGATAACTGAAAAAATAAAGCTGGTTTCCTATTGAAGCAGAGGCTTCAAAACCCAAACATTTTCTCCTGAGGAGCTTACTGCCTCACTGGAGAAAGAATGGAGAGAGTGCCAACTTGGTCCTATTTTCACTGACCAGAATAAGGATATTAAAAAATAATCTTTGAGCATATTTGCAAGACTTTCTTCATCAATGATTACAGTGGAGAAAGTCAGGGAGCTCGCGAATTGTTTTCTTGCCAGATGCAAATACTAATAGCTAAGGACTAATTATTGGTTACTTGGGCCCTCTGTCCCTCCATCTAAGTGTGTGTGTGTGTGTGTGCGTGTGTGTAGTTATTGTCTCACTCTACCAAACACTTCGAAAAGTGGGAGTAAAGGAGTTGCTGAATAACTATTTGACCTAGGGGACTGCTTGTGGTACTGCAATGAGACTCTACTTGACTATATTTCATTCTCCACGCATCATCAGGGATAACAGAATTAGATGAAAAATTCTCAGCCTTGAAGGGACAGGGGTGGCAACCTAGTTATTTCATTAGGGCCCAGCAGCAGCAGACAGTGGTCAGTGTCATAACAGAGCTTAGAGACTTTGGCTCTGAAAAATTGGGAAGATTTTGGAGAGGGTTAAAAGCTTACCTGGGAAGGGGTTAGTTCCTTAGAAGAAACTGGGCCAATGCATTTATGCATTTTTTTAAAAAAGTCAGATGCTGAGCAGAAGCATTTTAAGAAGCTTGTGAAGTTTGAGGGAGCATAGGGCAAAGGAGGCTAACTTCATAAACTCACCATCTTTCACCAAGAGGTTTTCAAATACATGGGAAACCCCACTTTTTTGAAAGCAATAGACAATTTTCTGTCATCACCACTTTTCCTTTCTGTGTAAAGTAAGAAAGAAAAGTCCAACTCCATTGGCCCAGGTGGCAGGTCAACAAAGGAAGCTTTGTTCATCACTTCTTCAGAACGAGATAGGGCACAGCCCACTCTGCTGTGTGTTCGTTCACACACACACACACACACACACACACACACATCCCAGAGAGTAGCCCAAGGAGCAAGAGGAGTAAAGCAAGCCTGCAATGAGGTAGTTTTGGCTGCAGTCTCCAGGGCTGTCCTGGAAGGTGGGAAATGAAGCTTAGAAGGTAAAGATGGTTAGAAACACAAGGATGCCTTGGCCAGACTCCAGGTGGTGGGGGGAACATTGGGTTGAAGGGGTGAACTCAAGTAGTTGGATAGTGACCAGTCAATGCCCAGGTGAGTTGACTCTAAACAGGTGCTTCTGGGTGTCAATCTATACCTGTTACTTAGGTGGATTCCCTGGCTTGACCCTCCTAACTGGCCTATCTCCAGACCCTGCACCCACTCCACACTTTCGCCAGGGCCATGTTTCTAAAAGAGAAACCTGTTATCCCTTCTCTGCTAATCAACATTTTATGACTGTCCATTATGCAAAGTCCAAAATTCTCTATAAAGCAAGACGTTTAAAGGTCTTGTGTTATGGCTTCAAATTTCTTCTCACCCTGAGCACCAGACCATGTTACCAGAATAAAGATCCAAGTTCCCAAGATCTAGCCCTTTAATGCCATGGGTATTTCCAGCCTTGCCAGCCCCATGACCTGGCACATTTCCAATACCCCAATCCTACCTATTTTTCAAGGTACAATGCACAAGCAACCTCCTCCAGGAAGTTTTCCATAGTATCCCAAGTTAAAAGTAATTTAATTCTCCAAGACCTCCATAGCATTTTACCTCTATCTAAACGCCTGTTTCTCTTGAACCTAGGACCTCCCAAGAGGAATCCTTTAGGAGATCCATATGTCAGCTGTATTCATGAGTGTGTATTTTACTCTGTAGGCTTCCTGCATCCCCCAGTGAGCCTGGCAATACTATTGTCCAGAAGTGTGGTTTCCTGTTTGGGTTAGGTCCTCCTGATCTGTCAGACCATCATCTAAACCCTACAAGAAAGGGAAAATAAGGAATGCCTGGTGATCAGTCAGAAAATCAGGGTCTATCTGTCTCTGCAGTTGACTGCAGACTCTGCAGGCTGCCACTGTATCTCTCATCGTGGTAATCCCAGGGTTGAACAGTGTCTGGCACTGCGCGTGCGTTCCATCATAAAAGCAAAAGAGGGGCTTGCCCAAGGTCACGTAGAGTCAGGAGCCCCGGAATCTCATCCCGGACGAGATCTGGTGAAATCATTTACAACATTATCTCAGTAGGGAGCCCAGAGGAAGGAAGGAATGAAGTGTCTGAGAAATGTGTGCCAGGCCTCCGGGACGTGCTTGGGGGGTGGGGTGGGGGGCTACATCAGACAAGATGCTGGGATCCCGGGCTGTCGGTCGGTAGCCCACCGAGCAACTAACACGACTCTCCGGCGGCGGGATGACTGGGGGCAGATGGGGGCACTGGGGTGGGAGCGAGGGGGCCAG